AGTTGTACGATTTAATAACATTTTTTAGCCTAGAAAAATATTTGTATTGAAAGGCGTCAATTTGTTTAGTGCTTAAAGCGGCACAATGGTTAAATTCGGCACTGACGATATTATGGATTAACATTGTATATTTTTGAAAACAACGATGACCGCGAAATAAAATATGAACCGTTCTCATGGTACTGCGTACCGTTACCAGGGGCTTGACCGTCGGTTTTTCTCACGCCGAACCGATCGCGTACACAATAATAATATATATTTATTGTTTTAAAAATCAATAAATAAACAAACACCCCAATGGTTAGGAATACAGTAATATTTATAAAGAACGATTAAGTAATAATTATCAAATGAAAATGTACATTGATTATTCGAACTAAAAACAAAACGTGTCTTTAACGTGGTGCAAAAAAAAAAAAAAAACGAAAAAAATCAAATCCTTTAATACGATCGCATAACGCCGGTAGGCGACGCATCGGACTGTTAGAGGAGCAATTTGTCTTTGACCGCGGTACAGCGACGGGAGGATTATGTCTAGAATTGAAGGAGGTCACCGATTGTTCGTGATATAGTTCAGGACAGTAAATTTCGAAATGACGACGATGATGCCGAGGCGTACCTAAACGTCGAGCAACCGCACCCGGTAGACCTCGATGTCGACCGTGAGAGCGAGTCGCGTAGTCGAATCGCGAGATCGTTTTCGGTGCGAAACCGTCCCGAACACGGACCGCCGCGGAACAAGCACCGGAAAGATTATAAAACGCCGAGACGAGGTGTGTACGCGAACGCGCGTGTGCGGTCGTCGGCGGCGGCGGCGGCGGCGGCTTGTTATGGCGTTTTAAAATTAAAAGCCGTTTGAGTGGATGTAATTAGTGCGCGCGCGCTCCCGTGTATTGCGACGGGGCCCGCAGGAGCTGCCGCGCACATAAATATACGTGTGCGCGCGAGTACGCGGTGCAAACGCGTTCACTCCGCTCGCGCTGACGGCTTAACACAAAAGGTGCGCCGCGCTGTCAACATAATAAAGGGTTTTGCAACCCTTTCGTCGCCGCGTCCCTTCCGCTAACCCGTTCACTTCGTGTGCGTGCGCGCGCGCGCACGTATGCCCGCGGACGGTCGGCGGAGAGTGGGCCCTTTTATGTGTTGACGCTTGTAAAAGTTAAACTGCCACCGCCGTTCGCGTAAATATCACCTTCTCGCAGCGCGTTCCACCACCCCGGTATCTTACGTTATTCCACCCTCCGCGCGACCTTTTAATAATAAGTGCCTGCCAACCCTTTTCGTAACTGATAACGTCGTCGTCATCGTCGTCGACGCCACCGTCTCCACCGTTACCACCGTCGGAGGCGATCAAATTAAATTAACCCTTTGCAATCACCTCAAAGGTCACACGGCGTGGAAATTCGCACGAACGACGACGCACAGTAATGATAATAATAATAATAATTTTAATAATATACACGGCATACCGTAGAGCAATTCGTAATTATTAACCATGGACGCGCGTACTGTTACCGGTGACGCGGCTACGAGGTGCGAATCGTTTTCCCCTCCGGTGTACGCGCTCGATCATCGGTTCCAATACGATATTATGCGTATCACGTTGAAACGCACGTGAAACTTCTAACAACCGGCGAAATAGATAGTTGCGTATCGCGTGCACGGCAACGTTTTTCTAGCTAAACTTTGAATCTCGCGAAACCGCTACATTTTTCCAGTCGAAAATTCATAACATTTTATTATATGTATTATACATGTAGACTGAAAATCGGATACAAGTTTTCATTGCAGCCAAAAGAAAATAATTTGAAATTCCCGACAGTGATTTAAAAACGGTACAGAATAACTTTTTGATGAAATCGGATACTTCAACGAATTTCCGTTAAACGATATTAGTTATTTAGGTAAAGTAATTTTGAAATTTCGAAATATTTTAAATGCCTTTTTTTTTGTGACGGTTGGGACATTAAAGCTTACTTTATTGAGAAATTTGTCTCTATTATATCAACCATCTTCAGAAAAATAAACTGATCATCCCGACTTGTTTCACTCGGAATCGTTTCTCCGAGAACAATGGTTCATTGGTTTCATGGTTAAAAGCTTAATACCATTCATCACTATATCTCACCATACCGTGAAATTACATAGAAATGATCTAACCTAGGATTTTCGCTCTTTTTAATAATAAAATAAATGGAAATTAAATATTTTCTATGCTGGATAATAAAAAATATAAAAATGTTTCTCATATTTTTCTCACCTCGTAGGTGATTTTATCTAAAAAAAAACCAAAAATATCGACTCAAATGTTAAATCTAAGTACGACTCACGTCTAATTTCTAACTTATGAAGCAGTTTCATGCAAGTTTTTGTGCATATTTACTACCTAATAGTTTGCATATAGAAAGTTATTACGGTTATTTCCTTTTTTTCTTATTTTGTTTATAAACCTAACTCCTGTTAAATTAGAAACCATGATTTATCGATCGCTTTTAATTAGCATTTGTGATCCCGACATCTAGGTGTGATGATGTTAAAATTTAACGAGGGCACGTGGTGTTCAGTGAATTCATGAATCTTTCTGAATGTATTATGTTGTAGACCTACAAAGTACGTCGTGCGAAAATCGTAGCAAATCGTGTATACCTGTATATTACCGCGGTTAAATTATAATTTATGTTATGACGTCGTTGCAGCAGTTTGTTACTTATTCGCTCGTCCGCCGATAACAATTTGGGCGGCATTTTTACGATCCAACTTTTCCCGCGGCCGGAATAATTTTATTATTATTTCGTATTATAATTGTGCGCGCGCACGCCCAACACTGAAACATTAGCATGTCTCGTCTTTTTAATCCGCGTTACGCTCATCCTATGATAATATTTCAGTTTATCAAACGAGGTTTCGAGTGGAAAAAGTTTTCTCGCTCTCGTTGTAATTGCTTAACACTGCGTTAAAAGACTAATATATGTGATGATAATGTTTTAACGCACCAGCACTGCATGTTCGTCCTCTGACCCCGAATCCAAAACTATAATAGTACCTTATTGTTGGCCGACGTTTTGTTGTTATTACACTAGGTGATCGAGATTTAAAGTTTCGATAAAAACGCATGTGCAAATTTTTTTATGAAAAAAAAAAGAAACTTTAAATAATAATATTAATTTTTGTGCCGATAATAAAAGGTAAAACACCGTTAAGCGTAGTGTTTGGAACCGTTTTAAAAAGTAAATGGTTTCCAAAGAAAATAACGTTATAATCCATCCAATATATAAAGGAAATAATTACCGGGTAATTAATATAAAATTTACACGGAGTCTTTAGAACACAATAAATTATGTTGCTTCGTACAAATGTTAGTTAGTTTAACCATTTATTTGCTGACGGGAGGCTATAAATGTACACAATAAAAATGAGTACATTAATCATAAGTTTAAAAGGATACAATAACGGGACGGAAAACGTATAAAAAAAGTAAGAATATCAAATACTATATTGTCCGCGAGTCGTTACAATACCAATATATACGTGTTTGATTACGGACTCAGCAGTGTCTTAAAAAGCGTGAGAGCAAATAAAAAATAAAATACCGCTCGACCAGCCACGACGCTGCTGGTTCACGGTTGGATTAGGTTTACCACGGTTTACCACGGTCTTGACATTGAACCCGTTTTCTTTCGCAGGACTTGCCCACTCGTGGGGCACATCGTTTTCCAGAGCTTTACCGTCGACCGCAGCATACCCTCCTTATCTGGCTAACAATTGCGGTCCGCCGACGTTCCAGCACTCGAACTTCACCAACATCTTCCCGTACAACGGGACGACCACTGAAGTGATTCAACAGACGATTAACACGAGCACAGGTAACATGTACATTGCAGCGACGAACGCGTGGTACAATATTACCGACGAACCGATGTTATTAACGTTTTGTTTACCGACGTCAGCGAAAAACCGTTTCCGGATAAATAAAGTTTCCACTCGAATCGATAATGTTTATTTAGCAGTTGTTCGCGACCAAAAGTTAATGTACGCTCATTCTCGTGAATCGCTTTCTTTTCTGACGCGGCCGGATCGAAAACGGAAATCAAATATTATCGCGCCGGAAAGTTGTACCCGCAACGAGTACAACAATACATCAGTAATTATCATACACTTTGTTACCGCTGTATGTTACTATTTAGAGGAATTAAGGTTGTGCTACCCAGTGGTGCAGTGCAGTGGTTTGCGACCTGGGGGTTGCGAAAGACAGTTCGGGGGTTCCCAAAAACAAAAAACATATGGTTATTCATATTGAAATGTATTAATTTAATCTAATTATTATGAACGTACAATATATACATATCGAATAAAATTGCGTGTAACGTAATCTTATCTGATGATGGATTGTTAACTATAAGCGATCGTGGTCACCGATCTTAATTGGATTGGCATTTAATGTCTGGCTATTTTTACACTCGTACCGCATTCGTGTATTTCAATCATTTTAGCCACAAATATAATAATAATATAATAATATATTATATTATTATTTAATAACAAGTTTGGTTGAAAACCCAGATTTAAGAGTAACAATTTCCAATATAAAACCTAATATGAAAACTATAGTTTTCAAAATTCAAGCACAAGTTTCCAAATAACACAAGAAAATTTGAAAAAACTACATTTACGTATTATTTATTTTTCAAATTGTTATATTTATATTCTATTATAAATTATTCGTAGGGTTCGCATTAGAAAAAAGTAAAAATTGAGGGTCGTGATTCTATACGTGGGCATACGACTTCTTAATTTTTCGGTTAATGCGTATATTGATAATTGAAGGGTGGGCGAGAATAACGTGCTATGTAGCAATTTTATGAACTGTGTCCATTTATGAATTAAACTTAAACAAAATTATTTCAAATATATGTTGCACAATCGTGATATCCGCATGTCGCGCGGCGTGTCAACTTACTGTGAACAGTGAATATTTGTACACGATAGTTGTGTACGATAAAAATATTTTAGGAATTTCACGATTTTTAAAATAGATCGATATTCTTTTGTAGCACGTTATCTCGCAAAAACATGAAATCCAAAAAAATGTTATATAGCACGTTATTTCCGCCCACCCTGCAATTTGTGATACGCAGGTATACAGATATACCAGCTATGCTATAAACATTTTAACCATAATAGCAGTTTTAACGAATTTTGACGTTTTTTTTTCTACAGCAATCCAAAATACCAAACATATTTCATTGCTATTACGTTTATTAGGAACCGTTACTATTTTTACATTTTAAAATTAAAAATATAAAATTAAAACTGTTGCACGAAAATATAGGTCACAAAAAACGGTCTTAAATTGTATTTTGTTAATTTTAAATTCGGATCTTTATTTTGTTAGCTAATCTTATTGATCAAAACCAAAAAAAAAAAAAAAGAAAAAAAAGTGAGTTAGTAGGAATTAATCCCACTCTTCCTTTTCTATTTACAATTGGTGTATACTCAAAACTTTTTATATTACTGCACCACTAGTGCTACCACTTATCACACTCGTATAGTTGTGTGTTACGTTTCATTTGTATATTACACGTCATTCGGACCCAAATGACAGGAAGTAAAGCGTATTCAAATGGTTTTAAAGGTATTTTATTTTGCTAAAATCGAAACTCTACAAAACGGCCACGATGTGCCGGGGAACAGCGAATTGTTTCTTCAACTAGTCTCCGATTCAGAAATTCTGAAAGTCGGGGTGGATTCGTTCGGATCGCGCATTGACGTACAATAATAATAATAATAATAATAATAATAATATAACTATTGAACGCTTTCAACGACGGAAGAATTTGTTTAACGTTCACGGGGACGAATGCACCAACACAAAATCATTTTATATTATAGCAGCGATATTTTTATTAAAATGTACAATCGTATTTGCGCAACGTCTAGACATCGTGATATACGCCAACGGGTGCCTTCGAACACGGTATATTTACTTGAGCAGCGGGAAACGAGTTCAAACTTCTAAATAAGTTTAATAAGTTATCGCGACATATTATTATGTGCAGTGCGTAACACTTTCTACGAGATAAAACCGTTTTCTTTGACTTTTGTTTCGAACACGTAACGCAGTCAGTTGGTTAAACGTTTTTATTTTTTCCACGAACGATCGCGCTCATCCCGAAACCGTCGCGTTAATCTATTACGGGAGCTTTCCGGCTCGGAGGCGAGTAATCGTGATCGAAACACACGCGCGACTTCAGCGGGAAATTTTTCGCTAACCGTCGCGGTCGCAGACGACGGAAAAACGTAGCACTCAAAACGAAGCATCACGGTTTTAAATATTTCGTTTGTTTACATTTTCCCTGCGGGGTGGTTCGTTGGATGTGGCGAATCGAACATACGATTGCGACGATTGAATCTTGTGCGTACGTGATAGTAATTGTATTGAACCGGTTGGGCTCGGAGCGCATAGTGTATCATTATGCAACGTTATCGGACGGTTTATCGTCGGGCAGTCGAAAACCGCGTGAAATCGTACTTTCAGTGCGCAGGGAAAGCTCTGGAAACAGATGCCGGAACCAGCGGCGCGGCGAAGGGGTTGTTTTTCCTAAGGCACCTATAGGAGTTCCGTTAATGGTAGCAATTTTACACGCTTTGTTTTAGTAATGATTGATTTAAAACGTACCGAAACATGCGATTGCATTGGTCAAAAAAATCCAAAATATATACGTTTACACGCGTGAACAGGTAAAAATCAAACATGTAAGGGAGGTATATCTACGAAAGATTGGGGATGAACTTTGAATGATAACATTTTCGTCTCGTGTTGTTCGTGTGCGGGTGACCGAGTCTCCGAACTGTACGAAAGTGTGCGCAGTATGTTGATCGATGTTTACGTGTTTTTGCAGAGGCCAACAGCAACGGAGGCAGACCGGCCGCGGCGGAACCTTTGGGCCCTATAAGTGTAAACGTGAGCGTAGAGAACGCGACGGTCAGGGGCCACCGGACCAGCAGCCGGGGTCACAGGGGCCTGTTGACCACGGTGGCCGGGGCCGGGCACAAACGGCACCAGCACCACCATCACCATCATCATCATCACAAACGGCACCGGGACGGCAGAACGGAGAAGACCGCCGATCGCCTGTCACCGTCGGCAGCAGCGGCGGTGACCAACAACAACAACAACAACAACAACAACGACGACGACGACAACAACAACAACGGTGGAGACGACAAGAAACGTGTAGCGGCCGTGGACGGGGTGACGACCACGACGCCCGCGCATCCTGTCGCGCAGTTGCCGCCACCGCCTCCGCCACCACCGCCACCACCGCACGTGACGGCGGCCGCGGCCGCAGTATCGCCGCGGCCGCAACACCCAGCCGCCGTCACGCAGCCCGTACCGCTCGTGGCCCCGTCGCTGTTCAGCCTGTTTCTGAACGCGCCGCTGCTGCAACCGCACACGCAATGGCTGTACTCGCAGCTGTACCCGAACCCGTACCTGAGCCACATACGCAACACGATGATATTCGACAACGAGTCGGCCGCCGTGGCCGCGGCCGCGCACAAGGGGGCCGCGGCCGTCGGGGCGGCAGTGGCCGAGGACGGGCACGGGGACGCGTCGGCCGGGCCGGAGAACGAGCCGACGAGATCGCCCGACCGACCGACGGACGAGGACGACGCGACGTCGCGGTCGCCGCCGCCCGTCTCGGCCAAGACGTGCAGCGCCAAGCAGACGGACGTCTGGAGGCCCTACTGATACACCCACCGAGGCCGCCGACGACGATCGGAAATCGCACTTGTACGTCGTCAGCCGTTTTGTGATATATTACCCACATAACGTTTACGCGTTGTAATACGTATCCCCCCCGAGTAGTCCGCCACGGAAGCAAAAAATGTTAGGTTTTAGTACCCCCAAAGTCTAACGCGCGATCCGCAACGAAACGCGTTGGAATGTCGACCGCGAACAGTGGTCGACATCCGGTCGCGAGGGAAAAGGATCGTTGCGCAGTAGCCGATGTACAGACGAAGGGAATGATGTAGAAGTTCCACCCTGTGTGTGACCTCGGCACTTGGAAGTACCCCGTCCCCTCGTCATCGTTTCGTAAGACGACTCTAATATGGTCTCGCCCGAAATCACGCTTTTCACCCTCCGTCCGTCCAACGTGCGATTAGCGCACCTTTTTCGAACCCCTTAAACACGATCACCTGTACTTCCCCCGCGACGTTATTTCGAAAAACGTACACAACGAATACACACTCGAATATTTATTGAACATTTTCGTTTTTTTTCACTCTTTGACTCTTCGAATTTTTCCGAACACTGCGCTCCAAGTCTATGCATCGCAGTTCCGTCTACGTGCCGTGCAGACATCCGTTATGACCGAACCACTATTTGCACGGTACCGCATTCGAATGCTAACGGTCCGGTGTTCATTATAAAATATTATCATCGAGTCTATCGTTACATTGTCAAACGAAACAGTCGTAATGTACGCGTACAGTTTACGGATACACGGGTCCTCCACGTTTACTCTCTAACGTCTCAAATATCCTATTAATGTGTACATTTACGCGTTAGTGAAATTCGCTGTCCACGTCTACGTCGCGTTTAGACACCGTTTACGATTACCAATTTTAATACCACCGTCGTACGAGTCCGAGAATAACATCGTATTAGCCCCCACCCCTCCCACGGACCCATCTATCAAACGGTAGTGTATGTTTTTATATATTATAGTGTCGTTTAAATTATAATTGTACGGTTTTCGTCTTCACACTGTATGAGTACGTTTTTTTTTGTTTCAAGTGTACGATATTATTATTATTATTATTATTATTATTATTATGTGAATAAAAGAAAACAATATTACTTGATTGTTGACTTATAAGTAGACCAGTGTTTATTGATTATTAACACTATTGAAATATTCGTGGTCACGAACGGACTCAAAAGTTCGGACGTCGATAATTAAATCAGTAGTAAAACCGTCGCCGTCACCGGTTAACGTTGCTTTCGGGGGAAACAGTTCATGTGTACAATATGTAGCCTAAGCAAAACTCCGTAAATCACTGCTATGTGGAAAAATAGATACAACATCGGTAAAATTGTAATACGAACACGTCTCATCGGGGTAACGTAGACGATTCGATCGCGTTTCGTGTGGGACGAAGTGTGCACCGTTCTCCAGGAACAAGTCGGTAAAAGTGACCATGTGGTGGTTTTGAGAGGATTAAATGTCGATGCGAGTACGAGCGTCTTGTTGTTTTCATCACATCACTGGTGTAAATGATTCTTAATGAGCTTTTCCCGCCGAGTCGAGGGTAAAACGAAGCGTATTTCCCAACTTAAAAGTGTAAGTCGCATCGGAATCGTGCTTTTTTTTTTACAGAAGTAAGTTCAACATTATCAATACAATGAAAACATATCGTACAATACGGCCGCAGAAATCTTATCGATAAAGTGCGTAATGTGACCATTGTGAGCTAATTTTTTTTCTTTTTTTTTTTTGGGCCTCATAACCGTCTTTTTTTTGGGCCTCCCGTCTCATAACCAAACTTCCATCCCTCTCTATCCAGTGCTCGATTTCTTTGGTTGGAACCAGCTCCCATCTGTTAAACATCCTTTTTTTATAGCGTCTTCCCAGCGCATTCTTGGTCTTCCCGGAGGCCTTTTACCTACAAGGTTTTGTTTGATCACTGCATGTAGTAGTGGATTTTGGTTATGTGAGCTGATATTAAGCAAAATCACCACTACGAAATACGGTCGGACAATACCGCTTGTATTTTAAGTACATTATTTGATGCTGCTCAGTTGCACATGGTATATTAAACGTGTTTTAAAAATAAATATATAAATCTCGTTTATGATGAATATGTTTAACGCGCGTTCGCCAAGGAACCGTACGAACCGTATCAAAATCTACAGTATTTTAACCGACTTCCAAACGTCGCCGTAAGGTAAAAACAACGTTCGTTGCTGTACTCGGTTTCGGTGTGTCGAAATACGACAGTAAAAACGTCGCGCCCGGACTCGATCGTCGCACGTGCGCGTCGGCGGATCGTTTGGAAACTTCGGCACGGCCGCGCACGTACGTTACAATATATCATCGACTGCGATCGTGCCAGTGATGTTTTTACGATTTCGATCGTTCCCCGGTGACGTTCGGGATTGTTTCCTTTTTTTTATTTTTGTTTTTTTGCGCCGTGTACGGTCTAATCGTCATATTGCGCGCGCACGATGATCGAACCCGAGACCCGTTGCGGATAGTAATAATAGTATATATCGAATGAAGGGCGAGAAAACCGTGCGTGGAAAAAAAAAATAATAATAATAAAAAAATAAAAAAGATACGATAAACAGTGCAGAAGCAGCGGCGGCGGCGGTGGTGGCAGCGTCGGAATACGCGCGCGCGCGGTAATAACGAAAAATCAGCAGTCGCGTCACATTGCGTGTGCTGGAGGGACTGTGCAAGGGGGAAACGGCCGAGAGTGGGTTGTTGTTGATTTAATAAAGAGTGAAAAGGCACACGGCGCGTCGGGTTCGGCGATCCGTATACGTGTGCGCGTATCCGTCGCGAGATCGTCGGCACGGCGGGAGTAGGGCAAGTAGGGCGTCGAGAGGCGGTGGAAAATATAAGGGAAAAAAATAAAACTGTATGCACACACACACGCACGAGCACACACACATAGATAGACGTGTGTGCGAGAACGATTCGGCTGTTCAAAAGAAACGATGTAAATATATACGTGTATAGGTAGTAGTAATGTGATTTCACGGTGTGCTGTCATGTTCACACCAAATATTAGGAATTGCCGGGGGAGACCCGTCGACGACGAGGGGAAGTTTCGGGACACGCCGTGGAAATTGGCTTGTCAATAAACATGACACCGGGTAGGCGAACCGTTCTGAGGGCGGTGGCGAACGGGCGCGCGGATGTATATTTTGATATGCTCGTGACGTGCGTATTGTTGTACGCGTGGGCCGTCCGCGCACGACCCCGTCGACTGATGCGCTCCTCTTCGACGTCGCCTTCGAACGCACGTCGAAGAATCGCATCGTTATTTTTACTCGGTTAAGTACACCGTTGCGACGCACTATCAGTCCACCGGTTCGACGTCCGAATCAGTTTATTTTGGGTTGATTGCACGACCCGTGATGTATACATATCACGCCGAGTCCGCCGGGGTGGGTTTGACGGTGAGATGTTCGGTTCGATTGTTTATTGCATTCCAGTTTTGTTTCGCCGCGACCCACTTGTCATTATTTTCGTGGAACATTTAGTTCAATACCATCTCCGTGTACGGCGAAAAAGCGCTTTCAAAGGTGTTCGAGACGCTGCCGGTACTCGTTATCGTCGTCAGTTGTTCGTGAGTAAAACGCGACCTGCTTAGACTACGTTGTCGATTCGTCCTTTTGTGCAGTACCTCGTTATCATGGTCACGAAAAGGAAAATTTAACGGTCCTTCACCGCAGGTATATCGGTATTTGGTTCGTTGCACGGTCGGGGAATCAGCGGCCGAAAATATACCAGTTGTGTACGTCGAGCCTTCGCGTGGCGTACACAAGTGCACGTGCATCGTCCGTGACATGGTGTTCGTGATAACAAAAAACATTCAATGTTCGGTCAGCGATCGGATGACGAACACATATTTATTCCGATCTAGTGTTTTGGATTAACATCGTACACGTCGATTACGCGCCTTCCGGTGCCGGACCGTTCGGCAACGATAGTACATCATCCGATATTGTTATTACGATTGTACATCGGATAGCACACGCGCGTGTCGTGTCGATTACATTATTCTATCGCTGCAGCAGCACGCAGAACCGAAACGATTCACGGTACGGTAAACTTCAAACCGAAATGGCTAGGAATCGTTAAACGTATTTTTTTTAACGTTTCAGATTATTTTTAATTCGTTCATTAATACACATTGCTAATTTGTATAAGCGTATGTAATTGTATTTGTCGACTGTTGTTCGTCGTGTCATGCGTGTACATATTGTTTATCGACTTACGAAAGGCAAGGAATCAAAGTTGAATAAAAAGACACATTACATTGGTACAAAATACACCTGATTTGGCCGTTATTGTATGGAATGCTGTATTCGACCAGCAGACCTCCCAGTCACAAGACTTTCGAAATAATCTTACGTAGTTCTACACAATATATCGATCTAACGATAGCTTGTTGGATTTATGAGTTTATCTCAAATACGAGTATATGATAATCACTGCCATAATTATAAAATAACAAATGAGACATTTGCACTAAGACAAAAGACGAAAATAATTTTTTGATGGCAAAAAAATTATCGCTATTTAAAAAAAAATAAAAAAATTTAGTTGTACTTAACCCATGTACTGGTAAGTGAGGACCTGAAATAAATGCGACTTTTTATACACTACATCACGCGTGGCTCGAGCAACAGTTTTCATCATAACGATTATAATTATTTTTCAACGAAAATTGACTAACAATCGTAAAACATCGTTTTATGTCTTGAACCTTTGACTCTGAAAATCCTTGGAAAATTATCCTCGATGATTTCTTGATTAGAAGGCCGAAATACAGATTCTTACAAAAATAATTGTTTGAAATGTAAACAAAATATTTTTGAAATCATGAAAAATATCATTTGATCAGAAGTTTATATTCTTGTTTGAATAATTATAAATGGAATATATTAAAATAAAAAAAAGTAAAACTATGTATTTAGATTAAGGGTGCTTCAGATGATAAAAATAGTTGTATAAAACAAGCAACCAGTTAGATAAAATTATGGATCTTAGGTTTGGTGGATTTTAATTTTGAAAATAAACAACATTACTAAAACACGGTCAAAGGAATTTTCATAATTACTATTATTAAAAGCGGTTCATAACATTTTAAAATATATGTAATTTAATGTATAATTAAATATGGATACATCTATGAATAAACCACAAACATTTATTTATTTTTCTATTACATCAAGTGTATTCTGCTACTGAATATATTAACACGCATTCTGATCAATTCATTTTACGACAATCCGTTTTACCAATTTTGGCTTGTTATTACACGTGACATTTATAAACGACCGCTACGTCAAATTAGTTGCGTACTGAAAGTTTGGAATTTCAGTAACATTTTACAACTATTTTCACCGGAGGTTGAGGATAAAAGTTAATTATTATTTCCTCCTCTTTTTTAGTAATTACAATATTTCAAAGGGTAAACTGCAGACTCGCAGAGGGTCCCGATAAATCAATCTATTAATTTGCGGGATAAAGAGAACGCGATTTTTCCAACTTGTAATTATTATTAAATATTTGCAAAGGACCGCACAGGGAAAAGAGAAATAATAATAGTCTTAAATATTTTTTAATTTAAGTTTTAAAACAATCGCGTTTGATCTTGAAATTTATTTTTTTCAATTTGTTTGTACACAACGATGTACTATTTATACTTGTTTTTTCTCGACAAACACGGGTTGACATCATACATATTTTATGCGTGTTACGATTTTTTGTCAGTCAATATTTTCTTATCGTTCCAAACCAGAAATCTGGTGCCATAAATCCAAAAAGATGGTTTTGATTTGCATTTTGGTGCATGAGTATGGAACATCAAGGGAAATGTTTACCTATTAAGCACAAGGAATACATATTTCAACTTCAACTTTTAGCTACGTGTGTAATTTATTATACGTACGTCGTATACACAGAACAACAATTGGAAAATGTTAAGTTCATAAGGCTGGTGAGTTTGAGAGTTGAAAATATTTTTAGTAAGCCATAAATCACTCACTAGCAAAACGTC